CCCCAAAACCCCAAAACCCCATCATTTATATATTTGATTTAGAAATTAAATGAAATATCGAGTTTAGCAATTTATAAACCTTTGATTGAAATTAAGTTATCATATTTCTAGACGAATATCAACTATTCTAAATTTTTAATGCCAAATCTCAAACTTGATAATTTCCATATCTATAGTTTGGCAACCTGAATTAGTATCTTGATATGTAGAATTGAAGTATATCTCTCACTGGATGATTGTGAACTTCATCGTAATCAGTTAATGTAAAATAAAGTGAGTTTGGATTCTACTTGTACCTCACATAAAATGTGCAATTATTCTTCTATAGTATGTTTCTTTTCATTCTTGGAAGCCTGAAGCTGCATATAAATTGAAATGCAATTTTCTATGGATTCTCAGTTCTCACCCTATATAAATATATGTAAATAGCTAAAATACTTACTATCCCAATCGGACTGGAAATCCATGCTTTTCACAAGCTTGCTTTACTCTCACAACCAATTCTCGCTTATTTTGACAAGAGAAATCGAAATCATCAATTGTCCCATTCCCTAGAAATCCACCTACATTTTCATAGAAATCTTGCTCTTCTTGAGTCAGGTACTTATGCCTTTCCATAGTATGCTTTAAAAGTTTGGCATTATGTCCTAAATTTCCATTATATCCTATTGGATTTGAGCATCTTGCTGGTGTTTATAAGGATTTTGCAACTGAATTGTATGAAGAGCTGTTTTAGCCTTGATATATCTTGAATACATTCTTATAACGGCCACGATTTGAAGTGCTTCTTACACTCTATACCTTGTATGGATTAAAATCACTAAGGTTTGAAAAGCTGCTAGATTAATTCATAGTAAGCTCCGTTCCCTCGATACTTTGATTAAGATCGCTGCTAGTTTACTGCTCTACAATAGTTAGCTGATTCGAGTTGTTGGCACTTCCAATTTTAAGATCATCTGTAAAGTCTATATGAATATGACTTTCTTCTACGAAATTATTATCATCATCTTACTCTCTGTCTTAATCTTATTCCTCTAAGTTCATTCCATTTTCATTATTATCATCCTTTCCTTCATAATCCATAGCAAATTTATTTTATTCATTACTTTAATAGGCATATTCCTAATTAATCTTTCTATCATTATCTTCTGCGAAGATATCAATATCTTAATCTTAGTTCTATTAAAAGAATATCTATGATTATTCTTGCAAATCGCCTTCATCTTCTTAAATAAATTGGCTTTGAAATATATCAATTTGGCTAAAATCAGGGATTGTATGCAAGTAATCATTTGATTACTCTATTTCAATTTAAGCAGGTAATTTACTAGCTCTTAATAATTATAATTGACTAAGAATACTACTCATTTAACTAACAAGCCAATA